CATGTTATCCCAAATTGCTAAGCATGTCTTATGTATAATATCTCGGACAGTGGTGTATCCAATCAGAAAATTATGATTTAAATCTCTCATAGAGCATCGTGTGGCCAGATATCTAAAACAAATTATTATTTTCAGGTAAATCACTACAACAAAAGTGGAAAAATATTAGAACAAGTTTTAGCAGAGAATTAAAACGCAGATCAGGTGCTAAAAGTGGAGCAACAGCTTCGCGTAAAAGCTCTTACGTTTATTTCCCACAGCTGCAGTTCCCTAATGAAACAGTGCAAAATAATCAAACTCAAGCTAGCATTGATGAAACGGAAGTTGTAAGTAATGATGAAGGCGGTAACGTTCAAATTCGTTCACCACTTGCCAAAAAGAAAAGTGATGATGATAGTTTGATTGAAGTACTAAAGGAAAATCGTGAAAGGAAACAAAAATGTGATTCAGATAGACTTTTTATGCTTTTACTTCTGGATGATTTTAGAAAAATTCCGGAAGATCGTAGGCTTTCTACAAAAATGGAGTTATTGGACGTAATAAAAAGAACACAAACCCTTAGACTGGAAATTAATAATCAAAGTTATTCTCATAGTGTGCCATACATTTATAGATATGGACCAGAACCAGAGGCATTGAGCAATATTGGCCAATATCACCATGAACACTCAGTACTACTAAACTACGGACCAGATGCTTTCAGAAGTAAACAATACCACAGTGGATATTCAACACAACAAAATTATGGACCAGGAGCACCTAGAAGTGGACAAAATCGTAGCGTATTTTCCACGCCTATTTCAGACAACTAGAATACTTCCATAGTATATGATGAGGGATTATCACCTACTGACTCAAATGTAACAACTATGACTGACAATCCCGAAATACTTAACCTATTTAATTAATAATACAATTTATAATAAATTAAGAAAAAATTATTGTTTTGTATACTCACCTCAATGTAATTACTAATTTTTCTTCCGAACATATACACTTTCGCATACGAGTGTCATTACCCGACAGTGAATTTTTACATTTTCTAAAAGTTCATCAAACGATTGCACTGACATTCTAGTATAATTAAAAAAACGTTTCGGATAATTTCGAAGATCTTTAAAATAATTTTGAAACAACCCCTTTGAGTACCGTTCCACAAATAAAGGATAAATCTTTCTTTTTTTTGTTCTGCGCTTCTTACGAGACAAAAGGTAAATAATGATAGCCTCTTCTATGTCTATTTCGATCTAAAATACGATGTGAAATGTAAAAGAATGTACGATTTGTATTGATTGACAGCGGTCGACCGAATGACGGACTTGACATCGGTCGGGCGTTGAGTGGCTGCTCAATAACTGGCTGCCGCAACCCCTCTGCCGCAGCCATGCTGCCTAGTGCGTCACAGCCCTTACTGTTACAAGAATGATTTAAATATTTAATTGAAAATATTCCAAGTCCAAATGTTTAATTTGGAATGGTGTCTGGCGTGAAGGTGGTCGCACTGACTCTGATGGCTCACGTCTGATTTTGGTCTATTCGGGGCTCTCCTATATAGTACTACTCTCCGCGTTTCCTCTCCTATCGATAAGATAAGTAAATTTCCATGGTCGAATCACGCAAATGCGTACGCGAGTATTATTAGAATATCTCAGCATCCCACGCTCGTGCGGCCGTTCGGTTCACATCCTGTTATTCGCGAGTTCGTGACACCCGTAATCTCCACGTGTACCTGTCAATACTACAATTTCGTACTCAACCGATGCCCCTATTAGGTGATATAATTTTTTTTTTGTATGGCACTATTGTTCGGGTGTACTAACCCAACCTACACCGGAGGACTGTTTGGCAGAATTTCTAATGGGCAACCGTAGGTTTCTTCCATGCCCCAGAGTGGCGGCACTAGTTCTCCAGACACCGTGACTTGCCCGGAGAAAAATGCCGCCCGATGATCGAGGATCGAACTCGGTCCGGCTGAGCCACAGCCGACGCGTTAGACGCGCTCGGCGACCTCGTCCCCCCAGGTGATATAATTAATCTTAACGGTGACGATAATTTGGAAAAGTCTCATAGTTTGGCCTTCTACTCAGCTATTTAGGTCCTACACAACGTAATCGGTTGTCGAAATCATATGCCCCAGGGACACTTACGTACATCTACGTGTATATGCGTATTTAGGTGTCTTAACGGGACGTCAGTACATAGCACAAAAGTACAAAGTAGTTGGTACTTAGATAATTTTTAGCTTTAATAATTTAAAATTTAAAAAATTATAGTTCGACGTCAATGTTATCTACCTCATTTAAAAAAGTTTATTTTTATATGTTTTTAATGTACATAGTATATTTTGTAAGTAAGTAACTGATTACAAACAATAATTTAATATAGATAAGATGAATAAAATGTAAATTCAGAAAGTATAGGTATATGTTGGTTTGTGCTTAATTTCAACATTTCGATACTTTACCTATTGGCTATTACTTCTAAATTTTGGCGAAACATTTTATTTTCAATCTCATATGAATGAATCTTTTTAAATTTTTATTAGAAAATATTAATTTGATTGTACCAAAGAATTAGTTAAAAATTGATTCAATGTATTATAATTACTGAGCCACAGCAACGCGTGGTTGGGTCAGCTAGTATTTTATAATTTAATAATTGTGATAAAAAACAACTGAATTATTAAAACTAACATTATTTTATTATTATAGGTACACTTAAGATGATTTATAAAAATGTGCAACAAGAGTGTAAAAAATGTGTGACAAGTTTTAATATGTATTGAATGACGTAAAAAATGTATATGAATATAATTCTTCTTTAAGGTACGTTTTCCTGGGAGCGCGTTTTTTGCGCCGCAGAAACCGATCACGTCGACGTGATAGCTGTATCACGTCGGCGTGAGCGTAAAACGTATTACGTGGCGTAAAAGTGTTTTCCTATAAAATATAGTGGTGGCGCGTTGAACAATTCAGTTGACTACTGAAAGTGTGATCAGTGTGTAGTGTATTTGTAATAATTTATTAAGTAAATACAATATTACCCTTTAAGTATTATTATTATATTATTATAATTATTAGTTAATAATTTTGCAATTGCAATAAATCGTCTTGAAAGAAAGAAAAAACTAATTTCACTGCTTATTCTTCGACATTTAACAATCGATGACGAATATGAAGAACATATGCTCTATGAACATTGGAATTTAAGAAAGAAAGTCAGTGAGATTTATAATAAACGAATAAACGAGGGTATTTTCAAAATGTTGATAAATAACCATCTTGTCGATGAAGAGCAACGATTTAAAAGTTATTTCCGAGTAACTCGTGAGATGTTTGCCTACATTTTGAACCTCGTAGAAGGGGATTTGACAACTACTACCTCATACAACAGAGTAAAAACACCTATAACTGCTGCGGAAAAATTGGCTCTTACTCTTAGGTAAGTGATCTATGAAAAGTGATAATTCATTTTATTTAAATAATCTTTAAAATTATTTAT